CTTTTTCAAAATCTCAAGCGCGTCCTGTTATTTTTTTATGGAATAAATAAATAAAATCGAAGAAAATATTAAATGAATAGTTTTCGTAAAAGTGATTTTTAAAGTCATTTTTGGTTCGAAATCGATTACTTGAAAAAGGTTTGTTCATCTCATTTGTATGTTTACAAAACTAATTGGGATTTTTTGACATTTGAATTTCATTTTCATATTTACCAGAAATCAGACTAGGATAACAATATTGATGTTTTATTATTCCTTTTTTTCCCGAAAAAAGAATGAAGTCCCCGAATGATAAAAAATTTAATCAAATGTAAAGTGTAATATTTTTCCCTTGGAAAACGTCAATATTCCATCTTCCCTTTTGCATTTAAACTTTCGCCTATTGTGTCCGAGCTCTGATGATTTTCTTCCCAAGATTCCTGCCTTCTAATAATGTGCCTCTTTTTTACGCTACAAAAGGAATTTCGGCCTATGTGTTGTCGCGAGGGGTTTTTGTCTATAGAGTCTGCTGCTTCGTAATATGAAATTCCTTCATAACCTGGAACTTACTAAAATAAAGCTATTTGTATATCCAAATTGGTTTTGTTGGGTATTAGAGAGTTCCAGACTTTGCCTAAAAACCGCCCTGACTACGTGATAGTGTAGAGTATCTATGCCTGGTAATTTGGTTTGAATGATAGTGGAGGATCCCAGGGCCATGTGGCGTTCATAGTATTAATCTTCCTTATTATTATTCCATATTATTCTTTGTCTATTATTATCGTTTATTCTTTTACTATTTCCCATCTTTGAGCCGTTCAAATACTGAACAGCTCTAGAATTTTTTTCTTTTAAACGTCCTTTCTACAATTTTATATTGAATGTTTTTTTAAACTCTAGTGTCTTCTCAGATATGTCAGAGACGGTTTTGGCATATATGTTAACATTTTCGAATATTACAATTAATTAAGGTTTTTAGTTGAGATAAAAAAGTCAATGGCACGAGCGGGATTCGAACCCACGATCTTCGGCTTGATACGCCGCTGCTCTACCACTTGAGCTATCGTGACCTCGATCCGGTGCGGTTGAGATGGGAAGTTGGTGTCCGAGATCGAGGTCACGATAGCGCAAGTGGTAGAACAGCGGCGTATCAAGCCGAAGATCGTGGGTTCGAATCCCGCTCGTGCCATTGACTTTTTTATCTCAACTAAAAACCTTAATTAATTGTAATATATTAATTGGTTAAGCGGACCACGAAATTAGTGAATTTTCGAATATGTTAGTATTGCCAGCATTAGATTTTCTTTCCACTGTTCGATGAATTCTCAGTTCCTCAGTCACTGTGAAAGAACAGTTGAGAAGAACGGTAACAGTTCCATTGCAGCTGTAGGTATTGTTTTAATCACCGGTGATGTAAAGACATGCTACTTTTTTGTACGCTTTGTAATAGTTCCCTTATTTTATATGCAACTGGCATATATGATCATGAGTCCCAATCTTAAGGTAGGACGATGAGGTCATCTCAGAATTTACCTCTTTAGTTCTATCACAATGTGTAATATTTTGAGTCTGGAATATCAGAAAGTCAAAATCTTTGATTGTTAGCAGTTATTTTAAATGTTTAAATTATACAGAATCCCTTACATTAAAAGGTTACATACATTTTTAACCGTTTTATTCATTTATAGGCTTACTAAAGTAAATGAATTAAAGAAAAATAACCGTTCTCATTATCGGTTTTCATTTTTTTTAAATTCTAAACATACGAAAAGTTTGCTAAATTTTTATCTCAACTAAAAACCTTAATTAATTGAAAGATATTAATTGGTCAAGCGGACCACGAAAACTAGTGAATTTTGCTAAATGTAGGCTAATTTTTTGTACGTTTAGTATTCAAGATTTTCTGCAAGAAACAATTTTCAAAAATCAACGACATTTTAAAATAAAAAGTCGATTTTTTATATATCATTATCTCAACCCAACTTTCTCAGATTATTTATGTTTGGTTAAGTTAAAAAAATTAAATTACATTTTTCAGCTTTACTATGACACAAAAGATGCCGAAACGCGGATAAAGTGAATAAATGGCATTTAAAAAATATCTACCTTCTGAAACACAGAAATATTTTCACAATGGAAATCAAAATGGAAAAAAAGCAGATGGTGAAATTCCGAAACGCGTCTGACATACCAACGTAGCGAGGATAGGCGGACCAGGATGATTTGTAACGACCGAATTACAAATTCATCAGCCCGCAGACTACCTAGAAAAATACTACATTTGTTAAATGTTAAAACTACCTAACCATGACACATGGTATAAAATTGATATTGAAATTTTTGTAAGTTGTAATTAAGTACATTTTCAGATTTTTACAGAAGAACCTCGAACAATTTTGTATTTCAATTTTGGGTTGGATTTTGAAGTTCTCAATTTGATGTAATGCTAGCTGTTACTTTCAAACCTTCAAAAATCAACAATGTAAATTATCCCCATTATATTTAGTGGTCTATTGGCCAAATTACTTCTTTCAATTAATTAATCTTTATGTAAAGTTCTGAGAAGGTTAAAATAACTAATACGGGTTAATTACCTATGCCATATTGCATAGTTCTACATTTTGGTTAAAAGATGGGAAATAGACATAAAAGGCAAACTACGACCATGAAATGGTTCTCAACTCCACCTCTACCATCTTTCAACCAAAATTACTAGCCATAGAACCATGGGCACATGAAATAATTAGCAAATGGCTCTCCAAGCATATTACTAATTAATCCATATTTGCTTAGTGGTCATAGTTGTCCATATTAATTTTCCAATTAATTATTCTTTTTAGTTAAGGTTTTTGGCAGAGATGAAAAATTAGTGCCACAAGCGGGTTTCGAACCACAACCATCGGGTAAAAAGTAATTATATCACTAACAGCTCACCATGGCCACTTCATAAGTCGCTGAGAATGGAATACTGATTACACGAGAATTGAAAAATGAGCAAAAAGAGGAAAAATTCGAACGGTTGTAGGTTGTGATGCAGATTTGGTGTCCGGATCGAAGTCACGATAGCTCAAGTGGTAGAGCAGCGGCGTGGCGTATTTAGCCGAAGGTCGTGGGTTCGAATCCCGCTCGTGGCACTAGCTTTTTATTCATTTATCAACCAAAAACATTACATTAGTTGAAAAAAATATAAATTATCTTTAAAAGAGTATTTTTACAGAATAGTTTTTTTGAAAATCTCTTTGACTGCAGAATGCAAAACACCAACCATGCAGTAGATTATTTAACATTTGAAGATAATTATAATTTATTGGCATGCAATACTATCGCGTTTTACACTGCGTCACCGATATCTTTTAAAAACGATAACAAGATTTGTACAAATTTTAAAGAAATATAACTTCAAAAAAATGTTGTGTTAAATTACTTTTATCTGAGGTTCATATAAATTAAACAATTTGATTTTTGCTAGGAAAATTTAAAATACTCGAGAAATACATTTTGGGCAGAATCTGATAAATTTATATCTGAGGATTTCTAATTAAACTCCATTCATAAGTCGACGAGACTAGCCCTTTGCGATTACGGGTTCTGGGCTCTTAAAGATCCTCCGGGGGTGGGGACAACAACCGAGGATTCCAGTAAATCACAGCCCTTGGAAAGGAGCAGGTGTGAGCACTCCCTTTCCAGCAGCCCTACGCCTTCCAATTTACAACTCCAATACTCAAACGATGAAGCCTTTTTTAAACGTTGCGTATTATATTTATAACAAGGGATTCGGTGAAAATGTGATGGTAAAACGTCTCTTTGATACAATCAAAAGATTGATATCAGTTGTGATGGCGTGACGCAATAAATCAGTCCTCGGCTCTTCATGCCAAGCAAAATGGAAGCAAGATAAACCAACTAAAACTACCGACACGACATAGTTTGTGCATAATTATTTTACATTTATTAGAAAAAAACTATGTAATTTCTTCCAGCCCTTGTTTTCCGGCAATTTTCTGCATTGATTACACAAATTTCCTAGGCTTGAAAAATTACATTAACTTATAACAAATAGATAGAGTTTTTATTTAAAGAAAACAATTTAGCTGCTGTTTGGAATATATTTATTTATTAAATATCTATTCAGCCTATTAGCTTATACATTAATAAGAGCGGACTAAGCGAGGAACCCTGCAACACGCACGTAAGTAATTTCAAACGATCTGGACATATCGTTGTTACACCACTCAGGGTTTCCTTAACATTTCCACTGAGCTGTAGATGCAAATATTGTCACGTGATCATAATGATTTGTGTCTATGAACATATTTCAACCTGCTTCCAATTGGACGTAATAAACATATGGAAAAAATCTGAAAACATGTACGTTCCAGTGCATATTGCAAAGAATTGATAGTTCAAAAGCATAAATGTTTCTTAACATATATTAAATATGTTAGAAACCATTCGGTTGTAGGGAAAAAACAGTTAAAAATTAATATAATATATGAAGTTATACTACTTGTGTAGATTAATATTAAGTGCAGCAAGGATAAACATATGAAACAAAGTGAAAGTAAAATTTATGTTGGAAGATGTAAATAACAGGATTTCATAATATGTAAATTGACTGTTGTTGTGGAAGAAAACGGATGTATGTAAAAATTGAAATCATGATTAAAAATTCGGGATTCATAAAAGTTGGCGCGGAGCATCTTTAAGACTCATGTCAGTATAGCAGAAAATCTCATACTCCGCGATTTGGCCGTTAAACCCCGCAGATGTCGGCTCGGCTTTTGGGAAACACGGCTTGGCCGAACGACTTTTCCGATATAGCAACAGGTTCTTGAGGAGCCGAGGGGAAAAAGTTGGTAAAAGCACGCGATACTACTAACAAGATTTTGCTTTTTCTTCAATATAAACAAAAATTGTTGTCCTATCGAAACATCCTCCTGTTGGACGATTTTCTCTGCAAAGATTTCCGCGTTGATATTATTCCCCACCAGTTCAATGTGATTTTACGATAGAACAACACATTTTTTCAGCTTTATTAAATCAGTTTTTATTTGTCAAAATATATTATTTACAGTATGAGTTATCAGCACAATATAACTGGTGTACAGCATACAGGATAACCCAAAGAGGTTGGATACACCAACGAGCAGCTTTCATTTAATCCTGGATATAATGCGGTACCGCATCTGAAAATTAAAATTTGCCGTCAATTTTTATTTATAAAAATGCTTATTATTTAAAGTATGAGTTATGGACACATATTATATTTGGTATACAGCATTTAGGATAAACAACACGGCTTGGTATTGCACAAGCATTCATTTAATCTTGGGTACACGAACGACATATACATATAGCGCTCATAACGGAAACTAATTTGATGAAACGTAAAAAGCTGTACGTATCAGGATACAAGACTTACAGAACGGACCACCCCGACGATCCACGGGGTACAGCTGTCTTATCCACAATACCACAACACATCGTCTCAACCAACCCCCAAACTTCCTACACAACACGGCTGTTAGGGTCTTCTTTCAATCACTAACCATACCAATGGCATCCGTATTTTCTACCCAACAAAATAATAACTTCCATCGTGTACAACGCTAAAGAACTTCAATGGGGCTTCGGAGTAACCAACTCCCCTAGCCGCACTATAAGCAACATTCAAATCTTTTGTCGCCCATTTCTCCGGACAATCCCAGGTATTGGTCAACCAACGTAAATCGTATTTATTTAGAAATGGTGAGATGCGGTCTGGTATAATGTAGGTTTCAGAAACCTACATCACACCAGACCGCATCTCACCATTTCTAAATAAATATCGATTAACGGTCATTAACCACCACACATTTCTACACATAAATCGTATTACCGACCTCATAGACTTCTTTCTAACAGCGATCCGTTACCTACTTCAATAACTCACCCATGTGGCCTATACTCCGATCATTTCTTCGTACCTTATCCCTCCATCCGATCTTTAAACAAAACCAAAATCACTGCTCCCTGTGGAGAGCTGGAATACATTCCGCATTCATCTTGTAAAACAAAATCTACCTAATAACACCTGACGAACTGGACGAGACTGTGGCTTCCTTCAACTCTGCTGACCATCATCCTCGTCAGTTGGTCAACGATGGATAATTGATATACAGCCATCATAACCTCCCCCCCACATATTAAGAGCCTCCTAAGCGAAGAATGTCAATCAGGGCCACATGGCAAAAATCTAGACATCATTTCGATCTCCAATTCTAAACTCGGCTATCCCGTCTTATCAAAAATGAATTACTACCTCCCGCAATGCAACGAAAAAATGGCTTTTTGTAAATGCATGTTTTCTCAGCCTTTTAAGTCACAGACCTGAGCCAGGTCCTCTCTTTTTAGAAAGTTATTCAGATATCGTGAGATGCGGTCGGGTGTGAATCAAAAATCTCACGATATCTGAATAACTATCGAATAACGGTCACTAATCTCTACACATTTCTTTTTAGAAAATTTTAAGCTGAACAAGATGGTTTTTATAAACGTTTTCCAAACTTCAGTCATTCACCATTAAATGAAAAAATTCGAGAACTTGTTAATTTTTGCACTTTATCTTTCTCCCGATTTTCAAGAATGCATACATTTTGAACCGCCATGTTTTCGTAAATTTTACTCTCTACAACTTTTGTTCTAAGGGTTTTTTCAGCTGAACAGGAAACAGCAATACTTACTTGCCCATATTTTCGTGCAATGGATTAAGATGAAGGATGTTTGAGTATTACCAGAGCAAAGGGGAGTTTTAGTACGGATTATACTATAGTATAGGTCCGTGATGAAGATTATGCCTTTTTAGGGAATTCATGGGGGATTCGGATCGTAATGATGGGAAAGCCAGTGACTTGCAATTCGACAACCGGGTAAAGTGACGACCAGCTTAACGTCAGAAGGAGTTTTGGTAGGCGATGAGGTAATTATGAATCTCTGCTTGATTAGAAGCACTGTTGAGGTCAGGATGGGAGGTGTGAATCTCATTAAGGTATTGGGCAAAAATATTGTGTATATTGTACAAAAATATTGTACTTATTTCAGAAGATCCTCCTAAAACGATTGATTCCTACACATAATTCTTTCAATCTTCTCCCAGACCACCAATATGGTTTTCTCAACATTCCACAACCCAGCAGATGCTTCACAGATGAAGTAGACCATATATCCTCATCTTTAGAGTGTAAGTACTGCTTTACTGTACTCATAGAAACTAAAGCGCGTTCTTCCAAATACCTTATTCCTAATCGTTGACTCCTACATCATAGGACGATTCTTCCGAGTTTGCCAAGGGTCGGACTATTTTAATTATTATCCTGCGTGAGCGGGAGTGCGACAGGGCAGTGTGCTCGGACTACTCCTGTTCCTCTTCTACACCTCAGACTCCCAACTACATACTCAACTCTCTGATCCCGATCCTGCAATCGCCTACGACAATCTCCAGACACACGTGGAGGAAACTAGAAGATAAAAATTAGTGAAAACAAATGCAACCCGGTTACATTTACTCTCAGAAACAAAACAAGCCATCACTATCAAATCGATCATAACCCTCCCTATAAACCCGTCAGAGGACTAAAGCGAAGATGGCCCTGGGACCTCCTCACCAAGGTTTATTCCATGCGTAAAGTTGGAAGAACAAAAATGGTTGCTAATTCTACTCAAATCATAGCGAATTGTAAATATGTATAATATTCCATAAAATCACAAACTGTATAATTATACAGATGGTAATAAATATTTTATTGGAAAAAAATCCTGGTACTAGATACAAGTGACACTGTATCTAAAAATTAAAATTGGCCGTCAATTATATTCGAATCTAAAGTACAAATTCATCCTTACCCCATCGTAGAAATCATATTGTTAGTTTCGTTCAGATATTCGCACGTCAATTTTGTACAATTCTCCCCGTCCCAACTTTCTCCGATGTTGTAATATGCTCCATTGTGTTCACACGCATTGTCCCAATCTGCAAATAAAGACCTTTTATGGTTAAATAGATAAATTTTTACAAAAAGTAGCTGTTCATGCAATAATTTCTGTTGCCTTGGTAAAACTGTGGTAGTTATCTGGGTCTGGGTTGTTGGATATATATAAGGCTGTAGAGGAGTAAACAGCAAAGAAAGAACATCCCAACTCTCATTCACTGACGCCACAAATGCACTTGCTTTGGGACTTGCTAGTCCTTTGGATACCCTGAATCGAAAAAGAGAGTTGGTTTTCACCGCTGAATTGACCATAAGTGGTTGACATACTGTTGGACCAAAGTATGTACAATACTGCTTTGTTTGGTAGAGTACTTCGCTCGAGAGTTATTAAGCATGTTGCCTGATATGAAAAATATTTTTGACAATAGCTAAGAGTTTTGCGGTAACTTTTTTATTTATTGGTATTTTCTTAGTTAAATGTGATAAAAGTTAAATATCGGTCAAAGATGACCAAGAGTCAGAGATGTTTGCACCAGACTCAAACAGGCCATACGCAATTTAAACCCGTACTGTTGGGCCAAAGCCAGTATTTAACATGTAGAAAAAATTCACTTGGTGCTACATTCAACTAAAGTGGGTCAGAGCTTGGTTCTAGCGAAAGCGAGATGGCACGCCATCCATATGAACCACGATTTCTACATTACAGTGGAAGCTGAAAGGGTGTAGGTGCCTTCGACTGTCAATGTTTCCACATTTAAAACCATTCATACCTGATGAAATCAATGGTGGCATAGTGTGTTTCTAATTAATAACTTGTGAGCTTAAACTTTTTTCCAAAAAGAACAAACTTAATAAGTTTATAACATCCCGGATATGGTATATATTCAAGAAGTCCTCATCTCTATTTGAAAAACATGTTCATTTTTGTATCTGATAGATAAATTATTACATATCTGTGAAAGAGGCTACTGTGAACACATTGGTTATTCGTCAAACACACAAAAATAATGAAATCTTCCTTTTTGAACTCAAACGTTTTGTCATAATAATAAATATATTACTTATAAATAAGTTTCTTGAAACTTTCTGGATTAGCCAGAAGGTAGGAAAGATAGTATTTTTAGTAAGAATGAGTATCGTGTGAAGTCACAAAATGTGTCGTCCAATTGATCATTAAATTGCTGCCATTTGGGACGTGTGCAGTGAAATAGCGAACACGTACTGAAACATGTCAAACTTCCAGTTAACAAAGATTTACATTTACTTCCACCTGGCAAGGCATTGTTGCCAACATAATTTTAATTACATTTTACAAATTTGATGCTAAAAACAGATTTCGTGTAGAGAACATCCAATCAAATACATTGGTCAAAAAAACAAAATAAAAAATAAAATTTCTTGTCATGTTTCTGACTGTGTTAATAGTTCCCGAAATGGTATGAACTGTCAACTATCGCTACCAAGCAGGCATCAGTTTGGCTTTTCCAATGTTGAAATAACAAAAAAAGTAGATAAAAGAGGTTCTACACTCTAAAATGGAAAATAATAGTTGTAATATTCAGACATATACCATGGGCTTAAGTTCAATTTATAAAGGTCTTACTATTTTTGAAAAGAGGATTTTTGTAATATTTTGGTAGGGATAGGAAAGCCTACAGTATAACAATAGTGTTACGATCTTTTGCAATGTTGGGACTGGTTCGGTCTTCAAATAATTTGAAACTATCTATTAAAACTTAATTATGTCAATGTGTAAACATATTTAAGATTGTGAGTTGCTTAGTGAACTGTTATAACATATTTTGTTGTAACATAATTTGTTGAAGTCGTGAGGAGCGGCCAATAATCTGATAGTTTACAAAAACACGTTTTTAATTTATTTGCTGCGTTTCAACCTTTATTCGGATCATCTTCAGGGCATAAAGTGTAGTGCTATTCTTGTAGTGTCATATTGGTTTTTGTCTCACAACACTTTTACCCGCAACCAATATGACCAAAACAATAGCACCACAGTTTATCCTCTGAAGATGACCCGAATAACGGCCGAAACATCGAGAAAAAATGAAAAAGGCGTTTTTCTAAACTACCTTATTCTTGACCGCTCCTCACGACTTCAACAAAATATTTAATATTATTTTGATCTATATACATACACACATATAACATGTTGAGTGTTGAATCTATTGTACAAATATGCATTGATAATGTGTAATTAATATTGGCCCTGTGGATGAGCTTAAAATATGTCGAACGCTTTGTAGTAAAATCTATTTTTTTTTCTTCACCCAGATTATACTAAGATCCAGATTATTCGAGCCATCAATATTAAAATCTAGCACGTAGACCTGGAGGTAAAGAAAAATAGTCCAAAAACCATCTGTTCGTCCGGAAAACGCTAGCTATCCTCCTTAGACTTTTAAACTTTACGTTAAAGGTTTTATTTGTATTTTAGTCCAAATCATTTAAATTCATTCTTTTTCATTCTCTCAATTCATAATTAGACTAGTTTAATAGGTTGAATAAACCTTTTTGTTGTTAAATGTTTGAAACAATCTCCAAATAATAATCAATACTACTTTGAGCAAGGAGAAACATCGTCACCTTGCATGAAATAGATATAAAATTTCACGACGACTCAATCTACCGGCAAAATAAAAGAAAGATTGGATTATATGATTGAACTAGAAACCTGGATTGCTTACCAGACGGACGTGGGACAACTTGTAAAGAGACGAACGCTATGGCCACGTTGACCAAAACGATCATGACGAAGCTAAACAACGTACGCATTTTTGTGTTACGTTACGACGTTTACGACTAGTCTTCAATAGACGACTGAGCAAATAAAATGAAATCGGTCTGACATTCAAACCCGCATTGTGATAACCCCGAGGGACCATCAGCGAAAACAGATCGTTACGGTTTTTAATAATTTGCGCGCCCTCATTTTAATATCTGTGTAAATAAGAAATAATCCGTAATGATAACGTTTTCCAGCTATGTAAAAATCAAATAATCTAACTGATTATTTTGATATTAGGTTGTTTTATAATTGTGAACAATAAGAGTGCAGCGTTCGTATGTGATTGTGAGGTGAAATTCACTCATCCCGAAACTTCAATTGTTAATTTGACTTTTTTTTACTTCTATTCTGAATCGTACACAAAACAACTGCGATATGTTTTCTTATATACCATATTTCGGCGATAAACGATAAATAACGATTTTTACTTTCTACAGTTTTAAGAAACTATCTGTCAGCCTCACGAGATCATATGATAAACGTTTCAATTTATCCCGATCGTGACACTGACTTTTTTTATCTCAACTAAAAACCTTTGTTAATTGAAATATATTAATTGCTCAAGCGGACCACTTATACTAGTGAATTTAATAAGTAAAAATGAAGTATACCTTCACTAAAGTTCTCCGTGGCCATTGCATTTGTCGCCGAGAATCAAATAGATTACACGACATTTGAAAAATGGCAAAAAGGAGGGAAAATTCAAAAGGTGGGATTGAGATGGGAAGTTGTTGTCCGAGTGGATCGAGGTCACGATTGCTCAAGTGGTCGAGCAGCGGCGTATCTAGCCGAAGGTCGTTGGTTCGAATCCCGTTTGTAACACTGTCTTTTTTATCTCAACCAATACCTTACATAAAGATTAATTAATTCAATACTTTACGTTCCTCTCAAAAATAAAACCACTTCAACAAGATACTCAAGATCAACTAGATAATTGTTCCTTTTAATATTTCATTTTCTTTGACTCCGTGAGAATATCGTAGTTGTTTTTGTTAGTATAGTCGTGGCTGATCATTTGCCCTGCTTTTTTTTTTACAAACTTTTGTAGAAAAGAAGTACTGAATGTAGCTATGTATCTAGTTTTTACTACTAGTAGTTCTTTTATTAATTTTCTTTCAATAAAGTCAATGACCAAAAACAATGTTCACATATTTTATGTGTAAAATAGCTGTCGCCGAACTTCATATCTCAGCCCATCTTCGTTGATTTTGTATGTCAGAGGAGTTTCGCCAATTCGCTACCTTTATTAGTCGATGATTATTTTGTGACAGACCAAATCAACAGAGTATAATTAAACGGAATAAATCTGAAATGAATCTTCGTGCGTTGTAGGTAGACGAAGCTAATACGAAATGGTCCATGAGTCTTAATCCACTCTAGTTTTATCTTCTCTTTCTTAGTTTTCGTAAGAAACTGTTTACGTATTTTATTAAGTTTGGTCGTTTTCTTGCTCGTTTGTAAGAAATAACACAGGCAAAACACTGAAAATGACGGAATACCCAAACGCGTCGGAAGATCGTAGGTTCGAATCCCGCTCGTGACACTGACATTTTTTTATCTCAACTAAAACCTCTAATTAATTGAAATACAGTAATTGGTCAAGCGGACCCAGTATATCCATTAATACTTTGTCCTGACTGTCGTCAGCTGGAAGTGGTGGCCCACCTCCAGTTTTTTTAATATGGGCACTTTTTTCGGAAAGTTTTTTTTTTCCTCTTTTCTTAATATTTTCGTACTTTCCTTTTAAAACGGCACTGCTTCTCGCAGTAACTCCATGAGAGTTATACTCCGCTGTAATCTGTTGCCAACAGTCTGCCTTTTGTTTGGCACTTACGGCATACATATTTTGAAATAATAAATGAAATAACACGAACAACGAAACAAACAATGGATATAGATAAAAACTATAATCTAAAACTAATTGAAAGACTCTAAAAACTACTTAAACTAAATAAAATACAATAAAAACTACTTAAACTAAACCTAATTAAAGACTATAAAAACTATAAACTTACTACCTAGTGGTTCAATAAACAATGAAATAGCTAAAAATAAAATACAAAATAAAAGCAACAAAATTAAAGTGGTTAAACAAATAAAGAATTGAAAAAATAAAAAACAGTAAAAAAAAAACAACAATGAAATCAACACAAAAAGACTAGGGAAAGCGGTACAGCAAACAATGCGAACAATGAAAAACTACGACGTATAGCTATAACCGTACAAAAAGGCTATAATCAGTTGTACCAACGACTGGTTGAACAGCGATCAGCTGAACGGCGGTCCCCTGCACATGGTGCAACGCTCCCTTCTCTGAATTTCGTTCAAATTGTGAACGACGTTCCAGTGAACCTGGCTTGAACCGTGACTGGTGCAACGGGGCCTAAAGAGGATTACCATCAGGTCCATCATCCTCCACATATGTTATATAAATAATCTAATTGAGAATCAACAGGGTCTCAATATTCCGCCTACACACTCCCTTTTATACGTTCTTCTCTGTATAAACAGAAGGACACCAAACGAAAAGTACTTCAATAATATATACAACATTTGAAAAATGGAAAACAATAGTCGCTGCCATGTTCAAGCACAATTCGCCGTCATTCATGCATACTCGTTATATGGAGCCAAATGATCTTCTTTTACACAATAAGTAAAATAATCACACGGCTGAAAACAATGCATTTACCAATGATGTGATAAAGCTCTGCAAACTTTATCAGGTTCTTAGAGGGAAATGTATAACAGAATTTTTTAAATTTACCCTTGATTTTAAAAATTGCGACTGGCTTTTATTACAGTTTCAGATTTTAATTCAACTTTCTTTCATTGTGGATTAGGAAAAAATAAATCGAAGGTGTGAAGGTTATAAAGCAAATGAAACTTCGTTCTCATCGGATATAATAATGATTCGGTTGATGAAATGACCCGAGAAAGGATGCAAATGCGATAAAGTGGCGTGGAAGAGCGAAGAAGCAATGATGAACGAGTAAGGGTCATTAATAGGTCCGCTCCTCGTTTATCATTCCTTGGGCCGGTGATTGCCTCGGAGTTTTTGCCACCTCCTTTCTGTTACATCTCTTCCACACACCTAAGCCCCTTATGTCCTCGGACTCGGTTTTTCACTTCGTTTTTATGCGACGACATCAAGACAACTTTGTTCTTATTCATCAGTCCCAATCGGTAATCGGCTTGTTAGTTAATTGGGATAAATTTGTCACCCTCGCCCCGACCACCTTCTTAATTGGAACCTTTCCAGACAAACTCCGGATTTAATTAATGCAAAAACCTATCATTAACTGGTAGGAAGATCCTCTAATGACTTTGAATAATACATTAATTTATTTCTTACCTCTCCAACTTTTCACCACATAAATGTTTTAATTAATTAACTTAATCAATTCAGGGAAGATTAGTCTTATTGAGGGAAGTAATCCTTCCTACTACGCACATATTCTATTAATAATTGATTCACTCCTTCACGCATTATTCACACTTTCATGTATAAACATACACAAAGCAACCACAAGTTTTGAGTTCATACTACGAAAGTGAGCACACACACACAAACATATTAGTTTTTCATTTTTGTCAAAAATTATGTAATTAGTTCAGCCCACATTTCAATTTAGTTATGGTTTTTATTTTTAATGGAAGTTTATTAAAATGTTCTTCGTCTTTTTTCAAATCCTGTAAGGCTTATAGCTTTTTTGCGTCATCCAACGTTTAAATATACCAATTATCTAACATTCCGTACCACCTTCCTTTTTCTATTTCAACCCTTTCTATCACATTCCCTTTCTCTCTCACTCGATCTCTTTTTTACCTTATTTAAGGCAATCACTACCCACTCACTATGTTTATGTTATTTAGATTTATTTATTTAGATGCTTCATTCAAAATATTACATATAATAAATAAACATAAGAATAAAATATATATATGTTAATAATAATTTATAAAAATGCAAATAATTATTACTTATTACTTATCTTGTAGTAATGAAGTCAACTCTCAGCAAGCAGAGCTTGAGTAGAGAGTTGGAGTTGCAAAGTTTATGCAATTTATTAGATAGATATATGTAACGTAGGCTATGTAAATAAGAAAATTAAATATACATATATTTAAATGTCAGATTGAATGAAATATATATAGTCTAAAGAAGGACACAAATAAATATAAAAAAATACATTATTATTATTATTATTACTGTACATTAATTTAAATAATTTATCAAAAAGCAACTGTAAGATATTAACATTTACAAATTTTTTAAACTTATTGCCATTAGAAAAATTACTAAAGTTAATTTGATGCCTAATAGCAAATTTTAAAGCAACAATGTAAGAATGTCTTGCATTTCAGTTTTAATTGTTGGTAAAATTACATTAGTATTGTTTGAATAACGCTTGTTACGTTCATGGTAATTATTGTACAATTATAGAGATTTAATTTGTACACATGAATACAGGAAGATAATATAAATAATTGTTTTATGTTATGAGCATTAAATTCTTCATATAAAGGGATTTTATTATACATCTGATGTTTGTTCATTATGATTTTAATGATAATGCTTTGGGCGGTACTAAGTTTTTGTAAATCACTATTACTGGCACTACCCCAAGTACATATATNATATTTAACTAATTTGATCGCAAAATATCTCTAAGTACATTGAATCTATAAAACAATTTTCTGATATTTATGTGTACTCTATCTATCTATATATAAATCTCTTTTTACATCTTGATGTCGTTCACTTTTTCGCTCTCCCACACTTTTCTTTTCTCTCTTTCTATCTATCTATCTTGATATATTTTCGTCTTTCTATCTTTCCATCTTGATATCTTTCTATATTCTCTTTCATTTACTCGTCTTAAACTTTTCCCTGCAATTGCTTTATCCTGTATACTGTATTATATACTTACTCCTGTGAGAGGTGTAAGATATCTTGGTTCACTAGATCAGGCCCAAATAAACTTCTTTAATTTTTTTTTCAGTTCAAAAATCCCCCATCCGGAACTGAACGATTTCTATTGTAACTGG